AAATGACATTCATTTTTTGTAATGGATATAATAAGGTTATTTCAAACGATGTGAGGACGCGTGGAAGTATAAGGTAAATATCCCCAATGTAGTTACTATTTTACTAACGAATAATGAATCAAAGAAGAGGTCAGCTAAGTAACAAAAGTTTATGACTGAAGGAAAGAAAGTTCCACACAAATTTTGCGAGCGATACCACAGAAAAGCAAGGCCGTTCTGAAGATATCGGGTACCTAGGGCATAGAAAAGTCGTTAACGGTCCTCTAGGGGGAGTAAAAAAAACCTTAAACCTCGACGTGGTGTGCGCACATGCTCCCCAATTATGTGGATTGTTTTGCGCATAAAATAGTTAGTCGCGGCAAGCAACAAGTCTGAACCTCAGGTTAATGCGTAGGCCGGTTTAAATAATGCGTAGGCCGGTTTAAATAATGCGTAGGCCGGTTAAAATAATGCTCAGGCCGGTTTAAATAATGCTCAGGCCGGTTTAAATAATGCGTAGGCCGGTTTAAATAATGCGTAGGCCGGTTTAAATAATGCGTAGACCGGTTTACGGGCAATGCTTGATTGTTGTGGTGAGAAATGTGTGTGAGTTTATTAGTTGTCGAATTATCGACAGGTAGCATTTCGATGCAAATTAATTCAATAGAAAATAATACCGACTGGAAACATTGTCTCTTGGCCACGTTTAAAATGAACAATATTGTGACAATACTGAAAATACTATCATAATATTTAGTATTTCATGACTTTGAAATACTAAATAAAAAGTAAAAAGCAAGCTATACTCCTAGTAGCTGCCCTAACAAAATTTAGAGTCGCCCCAGCTTCTGGTCAGAAATCAGAAGGTGCCACGTCTGTTAATTTTCACTGGGTGGCAACAGCACAAATTTTCATAATTGACATTTATGAAGATAAGTGACAGAACGACTTGTAATAAATTTTAGGCTAGAAATCATTTAGTTCATAAATAGGTTCATTCGTTGTTAAATAAAGATTCAACACCTACAAACAAAAAGCCTCAAGAAGAACGTTCGCAAAGATAAAAATAAATAATTTAATATTGCAATGCTTTGTTAAAATTTCTTTAGCAAGTCAAAAATACTCGATAAAAATGTAAATTTTTTATTATTCAAGCATCATGGCATTGTCAGATCTCAAATTCAATTCAAAATACAACAGAACTTTACAAATTTGCTGGGAGGGAACCGAATTTCATTCAGCACAGAGGAAGAAACAGATTATCTGCAAAGCGAGGTCGACGCGCCATCTGTCGCCGCAGAATGCAAATATTTCCGACGTAAAAGCGAAATTGACAGAAATGATTTAAAAGTTTGTTTACGCAGAAGGACGGGTGTTTGGAGTCGTCATCTTTCTGGAGTCGATTCAATTTACTGAGCTCGCTGGAGCACGAACTTGCGTCTTTCCAGCGCGGTTCCCTTGAGAACACAGCAATCGAATTCAAAGCACGTTTCTCTTAGCAGAGCAAGGAACAGAAAAGAAGCCACGAGTGATGCTGGCACCAAGCAAGATATTAATAAAACGAAATTTTACATGAGAATTTAAAAATATTTCCTCCAAACAATCATTCGAACTCACGTGTAAAGTGATAGCATGCATATAAAATTTGATAAAAATTACACGTTTTCCTTCGTTCGTTCTTAAGGTAAATTAGCGAGTTTGCATCCAACATAAAAGTAATAAGCAACTGAAATTTTTTTTAAACTCCACGGAGAAAAGGTCTAACATTTCATTTACTTCTCAGAGAACCTATTACAAATTGTCCAGAACTGGATAATATGAGAATAGTAAAGGATGTTAATTAACGTAATGATTCATGCATGACCAGTTTTGGAAATTTTGTATGGAAACCTTAGCATATCATACACCCAGTAATTCTGTTATTTCTTTACTAATTAAAATACAGTCGCACAATTAATACAGCGAAAAAATTTCACACGAATGCCCATGTAAACCATAAAGTAAAATAGAACCTGATATTCCTGCCTTATCAAGCTCAAAGTATCGTAATTACGCAGTCCTGACTGGTTTACAGCATGAACGTACGAAAAAGACTATTTCTATACTACAATCTACTAAGTCAATTAAATGATAAACGAAGACTGTTTAGTAAGCAGTAATAAACCAAGCTATATATTCCGGATAATGCGAATTTCCGTACAGAGTAAAGGCATTTCGGCCACGGCATCAGAGTCAATTCCGTGCCCAGAGGACAGTTTCAGTTCAGCCACGACGACATAGAAAGCCGTTCAGTTGAGGACAAGGGCAGTTCACCGCAACGCTACCTCAGTTTAATGAAAGCCTCACGGGCGTAATCGCTTCAATTACAAGAGGTTTACGCTCGGCTTGTAGCTCAGCACATTCAGAGCAGGTGCGCCTACACGTTGGATGAGCACAGCATGTGTGTGAAATGTTGTGTACTGTTGTGGAATAATACTTAAAAGGAGGAAATACATCGCCATATTTAAAATGTCAAAATGTTATGATCAGAATGCTCAGAGAGTTGTGGAGTAATTTTAAATTGCAGATTTGTCAAGAATTTCTTTCTAGTTTCATCAGAATTCAATTATTCATTTTCTTTGATTTCATTCAAGTTCTGAAAGTTTTATTAGGCGCATATGCCACATGATGAATATTTAATATTTAGGCAAGAATTAAGCAACAAAAAATTACTACTGAATTATTGCTCCAAAGTTAAAAAATCTGACAGTTCTCAGTCCCACTTGGGGCGCAGGACTAATGTCCCAGATCTCTTGGGAGCGTAAAAGTTTCGGCAGCAGGAATTAGGCTCAGTTTTTAGGAGAAGTTCTGGCTGGGATTTGACTAAGTTTGATCAAGTTTAGGAAGTTCGTTGCGCCAGCTGCCAGGTAGTGGCAGTTAAAAGATTTAATGCATTGTATTTATTATTATTGATGTGTTGCATTAACAGGCACAATCTTAGATTCCCTGTGTTATCCCAAAAACATTTTTCATCGCAACTTTACAATATTACTATTCAATTATGAAAGCACCAGGAACATTTTTGCATGCTTTTAATACGAGTACAAAACATGCGTGTATTTGTAGATATAAAAAAAGTGATCAGAAGAGAAAAATAAGTGCTTGAAGCTGTCGTGCGTTGAACTTTTCAATGGTCCTCAGTTAGCTACATGGTCGGAATGGCGTCACTCGATTTGAAGTATAAATAAATAATAAATAACTTGCGAATATTTATATAAACGAAATAAAGTGCGAGTAATTCGAAAAAAACGAGGCATCAGAACGATATAGTCGGAAAATGTAGCGCTTTTAAAAATGAGAATGTGTGAAATTTACACGTAATAACAGGTTGGAAGTTAATCATTGTTAAATTAAATTATGAAGATACAAGATAATAAATGTTTTTGCCTTGATGATAAACAGCGAAACTAATGAGAATATGAATAATAAGAAAGTTGACACAATGAAAGAGACTTTGAAATTCAGGGAGTATTTTGGGCGTCCGTTAAATCTTCAGATCAGGCAAACCTGATACCATCTGACACGTCGATTCCAAATTGAAAAATCATCTAATAATAAAAAATGTTAACAAACCTTCTTTAGGATAGACTTAAATCTGGCAAAACTTTCCATAACTTTTGCGCAGCATGGTAAAATATTTTATAAAGGAATGGGGGGAGCAAGTTTATCAATAAGTCCTAATCCTCTTAACAGACCAACCGCTTCATGAGCGCAGACAAGAGTCAACAAATAATGAACACTTGCCATTTTAAATCCACTTATCGAAATGAAATTCGCAACTTATGTAAGCGTGAAACAAAACGATCAAAGAAACAATATGAGAAAATGTGTCGGTCGTTTAGACTCAACATTTTGTGGACTCAAAAGCTAACTTGTTCAAACGAACGCATGCGTGTCAAGTAAATTGACGAGCTGACAAAGGATAGCTCGTTAGTCCAACTTCATCAAAAACTCTCAACTTGTTGCCTCAATGCGAGGCGAAGCTTTACAAAACTTGTCACAATTGAAGTTAGTTGTTGATGTTTTATGTACATTCAGCGAGGAATATGATTGAAAACTGCCATTGAGAGTAAAAGTCAGGAAGTAGAAGCAGCTAATGAACTATTGACGCAAAGGAAGAAGTTTGGGTACAATAATAAAATAATAATAATTTTCAGGAGATGTTATCCCACGAAGCACAAGTTATTGGATGCCGATCGATCATTTTATAAAAAATGTGCAAGGAGCGAAAAGTTGTAATAAAAAAAAGGCAAGAAATTTACAGACGATTTCTGTTCATCACTGTTTGGATATCAATAATAATGATGATGATTATAGAAGAAATAATAAGCTTCAGAGATCAGAGTGGCTTCGCCAAAAATTTATTGATAATTTAGAGACACGGAGAAGGAAGATAATTAAGTACAGTAGTGTTCAACTCAAGTTCAATGTTTTCTAAATAACGGTTTAGCTAGACACAGTATTACTACCTATATATCGCGACCGAAAAGAATCCTCAGAATTAAGGTCCCTTCAGTGAAAGCTACTTACAAGCGTTAACGCTCTGAACAGTAATAGGATCATAATTTGAAAACAGTGACTCAGTTTTTGCACGTAATACAGGTGCGCTTTTTTATTGGCCAAAATTGTTCAGAATGACTCACACCAAGGCTTTCAAATGGATCGTTTTTAGCGCATTTTCTCAATTATGGAAAAAAGGCGCTATTGTGCTCGTCATGTCCGTCCGAGAAAATGCTCTCTCTGTCACTCACTGCAGTGAGTACTGATCTATTATTTGGACAATGTCTCACTCACTTGTCTGAGTGAGTTCGACAATAATAACCCGCAAAATAGTGAAGTAGTTTGAAAGTAACAAAGCAAGTAGTAATAAAAGTAAAGTGATAAAGTAAGTAATAAGTAGTAAAGTAGTTTGAAAAAGAGAGAGGAAAGTAAAGTGAACATGAGTAAAGAGGATTATGTATATAAATAAATATATAATTGAGTTACCTGCGTATCTGCGAGGGGGGCATAGCAATGGAGCCCAGGGGCATCATGGTGGGGTAGCGCCCGATCATGGCGCCCGGGGGCAGCTGCGGCGTCGTCGCCAGGTTTGGCATGGATCCCAGGTATGAGGGCGCTGTACATTAACAAAATAATTTTATTTAATTACATTTTATTAAATAATAAAACTAATCATCCGAGGGCGCTGTACATTAAGAAAAGGAACACGAACAAAATTATTTAATTTAATTAAGTTTTAATAAATAATAAAATCAATCATCCGAGGGCGCTGTACATTAACAAAAAGAACACAGACAAAATTATTTAATGTAATTAAATTTTAATCAATAATAAACGTAATCATCCAAGGGCGCTGTACATTAACAAAATTAACACGAACAAAATTATTTTATTTAATTAAATTTTAATAAATAATAAAAGTAATCATCTTAACTTATTTTAATATTATGATGAGATTGTCCGGCGGAGATGGAATTACACATTGGATGCATCATAAATACCGTTACTTACTTTAAACACCACATGCGCGCTATATAATAACTAATTTACTATTATCATATTCAATATCGTCACTTGCAATTACTAATAACTTTTTACTAAATTACTAATAACAATTACTAATAACTTAATAATAACATTCGGCACTAAGTTGTAACGCTACTGACTACCGCGTTTTGACGATATTTCTACTCGATCGTGAACTTAGCTGAGTAGATTGACTTGGTAATAGGTGATTTCTACCCTTTTTGCGTACTATGTCCAAAATTAGTAATATAGTATTATTACTAGAAGTAATAATATATAATATTAATATAATATTATATTATTAATAATATTGTTATTGATATTAATTTATAATAACAATAATAATATTATATAAATTAAATTGTTTTCAAGTAATCTTATATAATATTTGAGTACGAGGCACCTGAGGCGAGCAGGCCCATCTGGGCGCGTGTGATGCCTCGCATGGCGGGATGGTTGGCGGCCAAGAAGTTGGCGGCGTGCATGGCGGGGTTCTGGTGGTGGGGAGCGACCGCCCCTTGTGACGGGTGTGTAGACGCAGGGGCAAGAGTTGTGTGGGGGAGCTTCACAGTCACTGCAGGTGGTGGGGACAGAGAGGATGGTGGGGAAAGGGAGCCCGAACCATCGGTGTGAGCGTCGGTGCCGTTAGGGGTGCCGGTGAGACCGTCGAGCGGCACTAGGACGCCGTTACCGCCGCCCAGGATCTGCATCTCGCGCATCTGTTCCTGACGGATCTCGTCGTTGTGATCCTACAGGATACAAATGAAGAATAAACGGTAAGCGTGATAAAATAAGTGATAAAATGATAACAACGGGAAGTGATAAAATAAAAGGAGACAACAACGCATTCAGGAAAATAAGTGCCACTTGGTATAAATAGAGATGCACTTCTCGTTATATTTTGGGTCATCTCGACCTAATTTGACCGGGCAAAAAGGTAAATCAGTGCTACATAAGGAAAATGTCTCCATATTCGGAATATTTGACCGATAATTTTTTGAGTGCGGGAAGTATACGATATTTCAATAAGAAATTAATAAAATTTATATTCAAATATAGGTGTCGAAACGTCCATGTTGAACAATTGGCTTAAGGAACAATTGGCATAAAGAATAATTGGCATAAAGAATAATTGGCTTAAAGAATAATTGGCATACAGAATAATTGGCATACAGAATAATTGGCATAAATATCATCGTGCCAGCAACGTTGGCACGAATGCGTGTCGTGACAGACACATTCGTTACACGCACGCTTCTCCTTAACTTGAGAGCTACGCTGCCACTTGCAGACGCTCGCTGCTTACTGATCTAATTATTCAAATGGTGCACAAGTTCCCGGTGGATACGCCTGCAGCCATTACCATAGCTTTGTCTAATAACACATTCGCTGCTTGCTCTTGTACGAGCTAAGCAAATACATTTGATTCAATCATGGCTTTAGTTTACTTGAATTCTGAAATTTTTTGGAGTACCAAAATCACAAAGCTGCAAGTGAGTTATTTTTAGGAGAGCGTATCAGAAAATAGTTAGCCTTTAATTATAAATCAATAACCACTTAACTCTTATCGTTAATAAATAGTTGATAACACGCATACTCACGGGGACAAGATACCGGCGTATTTCAGTGAGGGCGTAGGCTATACGCGCGTATGCCTCCGCGGGAGGAGCGTGTGCCGTGACCTCGACGTGTAGTTCCTCATGAAGGTGGCTGTACTTGGGGTCAGGGTTCTTCCTGAGCTCCTCTTCCTTGGCTTTATCTCTGAACGAACCTCGGCCCAAGATCGCCATCTTGGTCATGGTCTCTTCCTGTAGCCGCTTCAGGGAGTTGCCTTTCGGACCCAGAAGCTTGCCAACGAAGTTGAACTGCAAACAGAACAATATTTTATATTCTTCAGAATCAAATTTTCTTGAGGAGCACCATGGAGTCTGTGCTATTACAATAAATTTAATGAGGACAGGGCAGTGATAGCGGTTTCTGCCAAAAACAACCAGCATAATTTTCTGAGGGAAAACTCGACGAATTAGATTAAATAACGAGACAAGGCACCTGGAAAAACAAAGACAAAGCCGAATGTTCACCTACACATCTTTGTACATGGGTGGATGTATTAGTATATTACATTATGGTAGAGAGTCGTGGTAGAATAGGCACTAATGCTTGGTACAAACTGCTAGCTTCTCGAGGAAGTCAAATGAAGATCTCAGGGGAGAGGGAATTGGAATAACTATATATATAATCATTCATGATGCTGAAGACTTATTTTTAAATTATTTGGTGCAAAATATCTTTGTTTATGACTATGATAATAAATTATACAATGTCTTTAATATAATAATGATACCAAATCTGAAGTCAAATGTATAAAATGTCTCCTAAATGAAAAAATTGTTTTTGATTATAAATTATATATATAATAACTCATCAGCATAAATTTCGGTCATTCCGGCTTTAATCTCCTGCAAGTACCGTATAATTAGATTCCAACAAATCAAAATTACGAATGGGACAAGAAGTATTGTAAATTTTAAAGACTTATCCAAGCCTCAGACGAGTGCTATATTTTGACGTTTTTCATGCTTTAAGCCGCCTGACTGGTCAATTTAGATGAGCTGGGATGCAATAACATGGCTTAGTTATATGCGCTAACTGCAGGCTGGTAATTACTTGCCGTTGATTAGTCGTGTTATTATTGAACGTATCGGAACTCGTGATTGGTCATGGGTATGGCACGACAGCCAATCAGGACCGGCCAAACAACAAGCAAACACCCGTTCTATGAAGTCATGGTTGAACAATATTAATCAGTTCAACCATGCTTGGGATTGGTCATGTAGACAAACATCTTGGTGGAAAAGCGGCCTTCGAGAAGACAAATACTCTTGATTAAAGGCGAGGAAGCCCTTTGTTGAGACCATAATAGAAGCCATATTCATGAGTTAATTAATCTTGTGGATATGAAAACGCTTTCAGTCGTAATAATACAGAGTAATTCAATAATACAGGCAGGTATTACATGACAATGGTAGGTAGCGAATACAGTTAAGAGGGATAACATAAATTACATTATACAAACATACAATTTTGATTTTGTAAATGAATTTTAAGTGAAATCAACATGGCATAAGAAATTTTGACATTTCACAAATCGCCGTTAGCGAAAGTAAAGCAACATGGAGTTATCTTTGCAAGCAAAAGTTACGTCTGCGAAATAGCTACAAAATCGCGGGCATAAAATTCACAGCATCCCAAGCATCAGATTTACAAAATCCAGAGCAATAAATTCACTGTAAATGGGCATCAGGAAGTGAGTTGCCAAAGACTCGCAAACGCAAAAGGGAAATATATAGATTAAAAAACCATTTAATCTAGAAAACGCGCATCGATTTCGGCTCCTAAAACCTAACGAATAAATCAAAAAGAACTTTTCTACGATGAATGAAAGTTGTCGATACAGATACAGAAGCATTGGTCTCAATATTTTTCAGTCCGGTCCCGTCGCAGAAACACAAACAAGTCCATTCGAACGGAAACTTTTTGGAGCAAAGCTCGTAACGAGAAAAACTTCATCTCACAGCAACACTAGAACTTGGTCAGGTCGGAATGCCAAACCGCATATTTTTCTTCGACTCCGTATTTCAGTGACAGTTCTTGCGGGCAAAAAGGCCAGAAATAGATCTATCCGGAATAAATTCTTGTTCTTTGGATATTGAACGAGAAAATATTTCGGTGGAATGAAAAATGCCGGCGAGCAGAAACCAGGGGGAAATTCAGGTGGCGTTCAGGAAATTTGGGAGCCGATTTATTAGATGATTATTATTAATTGATATTAGTTGCAATTACGATACACGCCTGACTGAAATAATTAAAAAAAGGTCAAAGAATAAATTTTGTGATACACTATTATTAATTATCATTAATGTCATTATTATCCTTATATTTTAATTTGATAATAATACTACATTATTTTAATTTTAAAATAGTCGGGACGTTCAAGATTCAGTGTCCACCTGATTATTATTAGGGGAAAATGTTTCTTGATTTCGGAGTGAGAAGAAAATTTTAAAGACCCAACCATCAACCATAGAACCACTAACTGATAGGCAACTAAACTGTGAAGACTTTCCGAGAGTAACCCTTCAAACTTTCTTTGAATTTGTTTCTAGTCTAGTAAATATTAATGGCAACGTGTTATGCATGCAGGCGTATAGAGGCAATCAGACTTTTGATCTAAGCAATCATCTTCTTAATAACACATCGCTCACACTTCAGTTGGATTTGTTATAGATCATTAAAATTCGCACTATTTCAGTACGCGAACGATCGGCCATATTTCGTCCTAACTCTTTATATTAGTCTATATATACACCTATATAATCTATTCTTCTATATTAAAATCCATTAGTGCATTTATCAAAACATGTTGATCTTTAAATAACATTTTTTTATTCATTTAAAAAAATGGATATGATGGAATTTCTGAAAACCCAAATTTAAATAACTCCAAAGCGTATAACATGACAATTCTGATTTTAAAATTAGAAAAATTTGGTATCGGCGTAGTCATGCACCATATTCTGATTTTATTCGGCATGCTCGACTGACTGTCCCTAACGATCGATCAATTTTCAGCCGCTGACAATCTCTCAATGTTAAGGTAAAATGTCAGCCAATCAGCGATGTTCAGTAATCCTGCTGTAGTAATCATAAATGCCAATAATGCTGATCTCAGGCGGCGCAGAGAGAAAAGAAATATCTTGTTTTCGAAGAAGGAAACTGAACTGTCGGACGCGCGGAATCAGATCAGCGGGATCGAAGAGCGCTAAAAATGGAACTAAATTGATTCAAAAACACCCTACCATGAATATTTTATTCTTATTTGCTACTTGTTAAATAATTTTTATCGATTATACCTATGCGTTCTTTCCATATCTGATTTTGGGTAATCGGGGAGCTTCAGAATTCGTTTTCGTTACTCCATATAAATATCATGAACCATGCAACAGACGCAGTGCGTAAGTACCAATAATGATTGATACATTGAGGATTTAGTAGCAATAATAATAAGTATATGAAGAAGTAGTAGAATATGAAACGGCAATTTCAGCTACATACGACATTCGTTTCTTAAGCGAATGCTGCCACTAAAAATAATCGCTATTGACGTTGATGCGTTAGAATTTTCGAGAAATCTATCCCAGTATCTTAGAAGTGTTTCATTAAAGGGTTCACAAAATAGAGAAATAATCACTACCGCACTGTTTCCGTCATTCATAAATTTCGGGGAACTTCTTAGTTGCAGCACTAAATAACTAGACCATCACAATCCTGGCACTCTATAGAGATGGATTTATCAGTCATATGCTGATGAGTGATTACTGATTGCAACAGCAATCAGTAACCACACCAAAGCAAACCTAGCTCACTTTAGTGGCAGAGTGATGCAAATCAACGACCATAAATGTCAAATGATAACATAGCATCAAAATGCAGCCTTATGCAGGGAACGAAACTAACTCAATTACTGTTAATAGGATAGAATAGAAGTGTCGGCACTGAAGAAATAGGCCCATGGCCTGTTGCCGATTCTTGAATTTTTCGTTACTTGATTCACAAGGGATCCGGCTTTTGGAACCCGATCTTACCATAACTGATAACTGATAATGCTAAAACTGAACTGATAATGCTGAGCCGAAATATAGCCGACTAATCGTTGTTCAATCCGTCAACGGCTAACGGCCACCTATAAACCGACCGTATTCCCCAACAGAGAACCAGAGTCTCGACTCTCAAGAGCTCTCAGCTGAGAGTTGAGTACCCATGAAAAAAGCGGCTGCTACCACGAAATAGAATCACGTTAAAATTCCATTTACTGTAAAACCCTGTAGGAACTTGAGTTTTTGATGTTTTTTTCTTGCAAAAGATTACAGTTTAATTATTTGATGCCAGAGAAAAAGTTATTCCTCTCAGACTCAGATTTTTTACCGTAATTAGTAACTCTTATGTCACAAGTCATAAAACACACGAATTTGCGCGTAATTTTCTAGGAAAAACGTCGGCTACGTAAAGAGCTGTGCTAGACTCATTAGAGGCTTATATTATATTAACGAAAAACGTTAAACGAAATATTTTTTAAAATATCTAAAATGCAATAATTAAATTATATTCATTTATTGTAATACTCCCAAAAATAATTTTGCTGGTGTTATTCAGAAAAATTTGTACAATTCCACTGTGAGGAAAACTGAATGGAAATTCAAATCAAGATAGGAAATTAATTGTTGAAAAATTCGTGTTTATTTGGAGCAATACTATTGGAAGGAAGCTTCACGTTCCAAGCGAGGAAGAAATATATTGGAACATACAAACGTTTTGGTCAACAAAGCAGTTAAATATTTTGTTTGCTTTGTTAAAAGGATTGTATTTTGAAGAGGTCATAGTGTTTGTGTTTAATTTTCGAGAAATAATAACAACGCATTGAAGGCTGTACTCAAATAACTGAAGAAGAGACTGCAAGAAAAAGGGGATTAAGTTCTTATTGTAGAAAACGAAAAATCTAGATTCGTACGTGATTGCTGAATTCGTCAATCAATTGCAATAACCTTGCAAGGTTTCACCTAATTGCCAATCCATTAATGTTGTCGAGCACGAAAAAATTTAGCCAGATGTGAAACGAAAGACATGCAATAAAAATCTTAGGGGGTTTTCATCGTCTCATCATGCAGTAATAGTCGTATTTTTTAAGAACCCCATCGCTGAAGAACAACTGTGTTTTAGATATTGTTGTTAGATCAAAATAAAATAACCAAGATGAAACTAATATGAACAGCAATAATTGATATTTTGAAAACTTCATGATTCATAGATTTATGCTTAGCAAAATACAAGAACGCGACTGATACTGATCGCGTTCGTACGGCATCACAAAGAACAACGACAGCTACACGTAGTAACTGAAATTTTGAAAGGCATATTTTCGTGGAGCCTTCAAATCGAATCAAGGCGTCGGAAGTGGCACGAAAGTCACAAATCTCATTTCATAACACTTCGCTCTATGGAGCTCATGCAGAGGAATTGGAAGCGCGTCAAAATTGTTACGTTTCTTAGTTTTGCAATAGGTACCTCGAGAAAATATCAGTGTACGAACTATTGAAGTAAAAGTTGCAAATGATGATATTGATGCAAGAAATACTTTAGAGATATTGATGCAAGAAATACTTTAGAGATTTAGTGCTAATACAAATTTTAAGTAAGGGAAAATAACAGGGTAAAAGAGTTTTCATGTATCATCGGTAACCTCAGAGGGTTAAAATACAAAACAAGAATGCGACTGTAGTAGCATCGAAAGAATAATGTTTTTCTATGTTTTATGAATTTCAGCATCTTGTAGTTTGTGGAAATCGTTAATAGAACAGCGATTTCACTAGAATGCCGTGGATATGATATCTCAAAAATGGAATAAATCTAATGAATCAGCGCTCAGTTAAAATGAAAAGAAATAAATAATCTTGATGATTTATTCAGGGGAAATTAATATCGCAGTAAGTTTTGAAACAACCAATTGGAGATATAAGTAATTCCTTTGAAATGTTACTTGCACTTCATGTCAGATCTTGATAATAAATTAATTTATTTTACTGTACAGTAAAATATCTTTGATTCTCATTCAATCCTACGTATAACAAATATTTAGGTATGTTTAGCATTATTTATACAATGAATAAACCTATTCAGCATTATTATTATATAATATCTCACCTTAGGGTGCTCTCTGACAGGAACCTGCACCTTGACTGTGACTTTGATGCTCTTCTCTTTGGTGACTTCGACGGTGCGCTTCTCCTCGCTGCGACGGCCGCTCTGCACGCGCTCCAGCTCTGCACAGACGGTACCAATTTAAATATGTGCACGCGTCGTGGTCTCATTCTTGCACTACGGTAGTAAAAAAGAGTACATTAATCATATGGATGATAAAAAAATACATCATAATTTTTCTTAGATAAGGATATTCGCATTATTAACAACGCGTCTTTGTTTTGAATTCAGCTATCTAGGTTGTTGCTTCAAAATTGAATTCTTAGAAGATAAACTGAAAAAATAAATCAATTTCATGGTAAGTTAACCTTAACGTAAAATATTCGGTAAGGAAATGAGTTGTTATCTCTATTAAAGTGTAATTCAATTTGCTGTGGAATTCTTGCCAGTACATATTAATCCGGCGCTCCGCTATGGGATTTAAGCCAAGCTTTGCACACACTTTAAACATAAAAATTTTTCAAACAGATCTAAAAATACATCTTTTAAAAAAAATTGATAGCAGCACGAGAGTAAAATTCGGCAGAGAGCCACGCAAATCCCATTCCTATTCGAGGCTCAGGATTATTCAGGAATCAAAGAGGCAGCGAAAGTCTTTCTTCTCATTCAGGAATCGGAGAGACGAGACCGGATTCCGGACTCGTTTGAAAGGCAGGAAGCAGCGCCATAGCGAGCCAGTGGAATGCCTGCGATTGGGGGTACGATTGGATACGTGGGGTCTTGCAATCGGGGGTTACGGGGGTTATGCATTTGGAGATGTGGGGGTCACGCAATTAGGGATGATATTGGGGATGTGGGTGGTATGCAATATAGGGGGATGAGAGGGCCATGCCACTGGAGGTCACTCTCTTGATATCACCCTTGTAGAAAATCAGGTACTGTTTTTCGGCCTCGAGGTCGCTCATCAGCAGTCCAAGAAACGCTTATTAAGCGCCTTAACACAACCGTCCGAAAGGCGCTTATTTGACGCGGTTTTATCTAATGGGTATCATGCTGCAGCGACGAGATATCTGTTAGAAAATGAGCGACTCGAGTAAGAAAATGTATCAATTAAGAGCCGAGTTTTCGGTGAACTGAAAGAGAATTAAAATTGTTCATCAGAGTCATGCGCCCGGTAGACGCGTCCACTAAATTTGGGTATAGCATTACTGTGTTAATTATTTTTAATATTATCGAGATTTATATTCAATTGAGCATAACTACGATTCAAAAATATTTCCAAGGACATCTTTATTTTAAAATATTATCAGTAAAACTTTCCATGTCGTTAGCATTAACACAGGAATTGGAAACCCCACCCAGTCAGTGTACAGTGTACAGTACACTGTTCAGGCATCAGCAGCCAGTAGGTGTTCACTGTACACGTACTATATAGGCACTCTCAATGCATTTCACTAGGCAAGCTAATGCAGTGCATCAGTCACTGCAATGCTTACAATGGATGCTGGCTTGCCAATATTGCCATTGCCATATTGCTGGAACTGCAACACCGATCGGAATGTCGCCATCTCGAGGTCTTCATTTTGGTGGGGGGCCATGAGGCTACGGTTGAGTGTGAAGGCACAAAGAAAATTATTGGTCCGTGGGAGGTATTATCAAATGGGCACAATAAACTTGCGTAAACAATAACGAGGAAGAGGAAATAACTTCTAGTTGGATATTATTAAGCTTAATTGTTAGAGTTTCGTGGTATACCGGAAAGAATACTAAACTTGTCATGAATTTCAAAAATTGTTTCTATCTAATCAATAAGAAAACAGAATGTTAGCCTCTTGCTTTCAATTTAAACGTCGTGAAACGCTAACCGAAACTTATTTTAGTTGCAATGTTTCAGCGAAATGAACATCCAAAATGAACAAAATGCAATATAAATTCTGGTTAACTGAGGTCAATTTAAGGTAGCAGCGACCCTGCCACGGCTCGCAGATCGACTCGGTCCTCGACAGAGACCAAGTTCTGTCGAGCAGTTCAGAACGCAGCAGAGACTACTACGGCTCGCAATTGAGATCCTCGACAGAGACCAAGTTCTGTCGAGCAGTTCAGAACGCAGCAGAGGCTACTTCAGCTCGCAATCGAGATCCTTGACAGAGACCAAGTTCTGTCGAGCAGTTCAGAAGACAGCAGCGTCCTTGCTACGGCTCGCAATCGAGATCCTCGACAGAGACCAAGTTCTGTCGAGCAGTTCAGAAGAGCTCACGGGAATGCAGTTGTTCGTAACTCGATAGTGCCTCTCCTGCCAATCTCGTTATGCCCGCGCAAACAAGGAAGCATTTTCTTCGTTTCCAAGAGGAACTTCTTGCCAGGCTGCAAACCTGGCACTGAGATTGGACTGGACCGAGGGAAGCGTTGCACTGGACCGAGGGTTACGGATGGTCTTTGTTAAGCCATTTCCTGCAATCTGTTCTGCGCGCGAGCACCAGTTTTCGTAAATCTAATCCTAAATTTAGCCGTTTTCTCGAAATTCGTTGCAGTTTAACAATTACAGTCGATGATGTAGAATAAAAATTCAAATCGATTGCCACTAATTATGATCAATAAAATGAAAACCGTAGAAAGACAAACACACTGGTTACAAAAATCTAAACAATGTGGGCTATTATGTAAAATTATGATAAGAACTCGAAGAAATTGATTGAATGGATATCAAGCATGCTAGAATTCTATTCCCACATTGCATACTCAACTCCATAACAAATTGCAATTAGCCGTCGGTTATAGTTCTGAATAATTCGAACAAGGCAAGAGTGAAAACCTCTCGAAACTTTTATCATGCATATAATTTTTACGTTGCCAGGAGAGCAGCGTTTGAATTTAATTAAATTCAGAAATACTTTTAGTCATTTAAATAGTATTTTTCTACAGAATAACTTACATGAAAGTTTGCTACCGAGTTCAAAAAGCTGACTTAAAAAAAATATCCAGCCGAGCGTTTCAGCGCAGTTAATTAAATAAGAAACACGTATTCAGTTGTTATACATTCCGAATAAATAATAAAGGGAAACAGTTCTTCTGAAAATGAGTTTATCGGGAGAAAACATATCAATACAGTTTCAAAACACAGTGAAACATTGTTACGTAATAGGTGTATTAAATAGGGGTGATTTTCATAAAAAAATTTCACGATAATTCGGTATACAGAAATCTTTCAAGCCTCATTTCAACCTGAAGTTAAGACCAAACAAAGTGCAATGAATAGTAACAATTTCAAATAAATCAACAAATTCATTAATTTTCAATCTAGCAATTAAATTAATTAATAGTATATAGAAGTAATTGAATCGAGAACATTGAACCGTTAATTACCTACAATAGCTCATTATTCGTGTCAACATTATTTGAACCATTAGTTACCAACAATAGCTCATAATTCATGTCTCTTTGAACTGCGCACTGTGAATAAAGGTGCAATAGAACGCTTGTGATCAACATCAGCTACGTGTTTGACTCGCGTCTCGATCGCGCTCGATTATTTATCAGGGTGTTTGCACGGAATTAATGAAGCTTTAGGGAGCGAGCGGGGTAGGCTAATGGAGAGGCAAACATTCAGACCAATTACAGTTCCGGCATTAATTCGAAATTTAAATCCGGATATTCCTATGAAGTCTAAAGATAGATAGCAATTTAAAATGAGATATTAATGAATGTTCACATTGCATACATTAAAATATTACATATTAATGACGGTTCCGACGACACACTGAGTATTTGTATCAATTATCAAGCTGCAGCAATGATGGTCCATATGACGAGTATGTATAGAAAAATTATATATAAATGACGGTCCTCAGAAAACACCAAGTGTCTACATCAATTAATGCAATAATTCATGCAACATTAATGAAGTTCTCGATGAAACACTGACTGTCTGTAACAATTATCATGCAGCATTAATGAAGTTCCCGATGAAACGCTGACTGTCTGTAACAATTGTCATGCGGTATCAATGAAGTTCTCTATGAAACATTGACTGTCTGTAGCAATTATCATGCAGTATCAATGAAGTTCTCGATGAAACACTGACTGTAACAATTAACACGCAGAATCACATAAGGTCCCGTGGACGCCTAAAGTCTTGGGTTAGTCCCTATAAAAGAGCCGGAGGTCCCTAAAGGCTGTCGATGGGCCTCATTTAGGCAGTTGAAGTTTGTGTTTAAGTTGCACCATGAGCGCATTAGCAGCTAAACTTAGCAGTGCACCAGGCAGATTAGCATAGTAAGTTGAGCTTAGTTAACATGGGGCTTTTAGCCGAGGGTTTGTAGAACATGCAAATGAGCTAGATGGAAAAATCTATAAATGGAGAATGGGGCACGAAAATTTAAATTACAGGTGAGTAGGAATGGTAACTTTATGGTAAATTGTACATGGAAAGGGGCTTTAATTGAAACGAACCGAAGTATTGTAGATATTACAATATACATATCGATTTTTGGAGCAATTTTTATCAGTCTTAAGTTAGAAAAAAATACAAGTAAATGAGTTTACAGGCAGCAAGCAACTGATTTCAAAACAATCGCCAAAATACAGAAATTATCTTAATATTTATATTTATTATAATTCATAAAAAATTTCATTCAGTCATCTTATAATTTAAGCAAGAAAAGCTCCTCCATATAAAAAATCTTAGAATAAAATATTCAAAGATTCTCTTCCACATCGAACCAAGGGGACGGCTAGCATAGCAACTGCTCTGCAAATCCAAGGAATAAAAACAAATAAAAAGCCTCAGGAGAAAATTTATGGACTTGACAAGGAAAAGTTTAGTTGGAACTGATGCAATGCATCTCAATTACGCACCTCGATGCCAGAGCAGGCGTTACTGAAGATTTATTATGGAAAATATAAATGAAGCAGTAAAATATAAATGAAGCAGTAAAATATAAATGAACCAGTAAAATATAAATGAACCAGTAAATTTGTGCAGTGAGAAGTTGTACTCTATATTAGTAAATTCTAGCCAATTTCTCAACTCAGAAAGATTTTTCCACCAGAAAAGATTCTGGAAATGGCGTTAATGAAAATCATTTTCATTAAAAAAATTTAACGCCTAACGATCTTAAAAAATATCCTAATCTTTTGAGATTTTCTCTTATTTCATTCTTTGATAATTGACAACCTAAATAATGGAGAATCATTGAAGTTTGAATGAAGGAGAGTATATAAAAATCAATAAAAAATAAATAAATTGGCAGGTACGCTAAACAGAGAGAATCGGTCTTACATCACGACTCAAGTTGTAATATTTTCTTTCACGCACAATTTCGTTGAATCGGTTTGATCGAAATTACAATTAAAGTTCATGCAAACTAAGAATATAAATTTTCAATACATTCCATTCGTGCTTTTATTAAATTGTGCATCAATACCTCAATTTTTTTTCTAGGTTAGATTCCTATAAATAATAATTTACAAAACTTCAGTGTATATAATATAAAAAATTTCGTCGTATTGCAAAATTGTCCTTTTTTTGGCGCTTTCATGCCCAGCGGCGCTCGGGCGCTGCTCGCGTAGAGGTAAAATATCGCGAGTTAAGGTTCCGTCAGTCTCAATTTCGAGACCCGACACAAGTTAAGAAAACTAACGCTGCAAGTTGGGAGAGTGTTTCCGCCTTATCCAAACGCATGTCGGAAGAAGCCAAAACATTGGCCCAGAATAAAACTGCATTAAAAAGAATGCTTGGAAAAAAGGCGGCGATCGCCATAGAAAAAACATGCGGCAAAGCTGCCTACCCATGACTGGAAGCATAAAAAATTCGAATATTTTTCTTTCCAGCTAAACTCCTTTCAAGAACTTGCTTCTCCTCAAGAAAATCTGATGCGCTGCTCAAGAATTGGTAAATCCATTAAAATGTCAACACTGTATGTAAATAAAGTTGACATTATCATGTTATTTCAAAACATATATTCGATGAATCGAGCGAAAAAAATTCAAGAAAATAGGCATTAATTTCTTGAAAAACAAGTTCGACTGAGAATATTTTAAAATTTTACTCATTACTTGCATTTATTCCGCATTAATATTCAGTGTGAATACCAAAATTATCTACAAATCATCAACACGCTGTTAAAATTTCAGTAAAAGCAATAAATGCGTCAGGCAATAAATAATATTTAATTCTTTGGACGTTCGCTTTGTAGTACTAAATGTATGAAATTTCCTCTACCGTCGTCAAGTTCTGATATTAAGAAATACACAAGATTTATTTTAATTGCAAGTCCTAATCACTAAATAAATTATCTCCTCGGGGTTCTCCTCTGAGTCATTCTATTTTATTTGTCAGGCAATTGCAAAATATAATTTTTTCATTTCTTCATTTTATTTCATAAACAAGCCAACTTGAAAAGAACTAGCGTCTCTCCTGCTATCACAATTATCAGAAGTAATTGATTCATGATTATAAATAATAATTAGGTCATGTGAACCAAAAGACAAGTTCAAAATTTCATTCATCAATGAAAATTTTATCTCCGTTTAAACATTAAAATAAAATCATATTTTTAATACAAAATTT